GGGTGTAGCGCCTGTGCGCTGCTCTAGCGGGGCGGGCGCGTGATGCTGCAGGGCCCGGGGCCTGCGGGGGGACCCGCGAGGTGTGTCCCCGCGCGGGAGCGGGACGAGGAGCCGATACCTCCCACTCCAGGTTTCCCGAGTTATGCTTTTGGGCCGTAGGCACCGCAGGCCTGTCTTGAGCGTATTTGATTGATGGATTGGCCACCGTTGCTCCAAAGACTCCGAGCGCCTGGGCGTGGTTTCGGTGCTCGGGGTTGTGCACCCAGCTTCAGCCCGAGTGCTGGAAGGCTCGGGCACGTCTCATGGCTAGCCTGGCCTCCGCTGCGCCCCTTCGGGGTCTTGCACCCCAACAGGCTCAGGTGTCCCTGGGGGATGCCCCTGGCCCCACTGTCCCATGTTAATCCTGTCACCCAGTGCTTCGCGGACAGATGCCGGTCGCGAGCCACTGGTCGCCGGTCCGCAGCAAGTTGCCAGGAAAGAAAGAAATATATTTTCAGAAGCATAACATTGATAAGTCATAGCGCCACAGTTTGTACGTTCCAACGTTCCAGGTGATGTCACATTGTGCGAGGTGAGGAAAGAGAGAAAGCTGGTCGCGCATTTGTGTAGCGCTGTTACACGCAGTTGCTGCCACCGGCTGAACCCGGCACGGGTCCCTGGCCCACTGGGAAAAAAAATTGCCAGTCCACCACATCAGATAGTTTGAGAAGCACTGCTGTAACCCACCAGGTGGTGGGGGCGGGGGTTTAGGCACCTTACACCAGGGAGGTCCACCAGGCCTCCCCAACCCAGCAGGGTGCAGTGTTAGATCATGCCCAGGACCCCTGAGGCCTCCTCCTTCCCCATAGCCTCACTCTTACCGCTGAGTTATCAGAGCAGCAGCTCCTCCAGGAGATGTTGCTTCCTCAGTGTCTGGCCTCCAGCCCTGCTGGCCTGGGACTTAAGGCCTCTTGTCAGGGTTCAGCCACATCTGCCTGCTGCCTGATCCAGGTGTTAAAGTGGCAAAGCACTTAAGGTGCTCTGACACCCACCTTCCCCCTTACAGTGTTCAGCATGGAAGGCTTTTCTCTGCTGCTCCCAAAAACAGGCTTCCCCAGAGCCTGTGATAGCCCCAAAGTGGTGAGCACCCCACTGGTGCTCTGCCACAGACCAACCGACTGCCTTAGGGATCTGTGCTTGCTCTGACCTTGTACAATCTCTACACCAATGATCTGCCACAAAACTAGTCACGAAATTCATCCATGCTGATGACATCTGCTATGGATTCCAGGCCCAGACTTTTTCTGAACTAGAACATACTCTGAACGGTGACACTGCAAAGCTGGCTGACTACTGCAAGACTTGGTGCCTTCAGCCAAGCGTCAGTAAGACAATTTCCAGTTTTTTCCACTTACACAATGCCAGTGCTGCACAGGAGCTAAGCATCTATCTGAGTGGAGAGAGGCTGAGGCATGGCCGGATTATGACATGCTGGGGCCCTAAGCTAGGGGTTCCCAACCTTTCTGTGCCATGGACCAGAAGCGGCCAAGTGAGGAAGTGTTGCGAGCAATCGGATCTAGCTGAGTGCTTATCCCACGAGATGTCTGGGTAGTTAAAGTCACCCATGGCAACCATGCTCCAAGAGCGTGCAGCCTCTGCCAGTTCTCTAGAGAATTCCTGGTCGAGCAGTTCCTCTTGTTTTGGAAGTCTGTAATAAATGCCTATGGTCAAATCTCCTTCCCTGTGCTCTCCTCGTATCTTGACCCAGAGGGTCTCAGTCGCCCTTCTTTGTTTCCAGTCTTTGCTTATAGGAGGTGTAATGTTCCTTCACATAGCGAGCAACTTCATGGTTCCAGACAGGGCAAGGTCTGCGTGCAGCCAACCTCTACCGTTGGGGTCTTCGCAGCAATCCAGACTAGCTGTGGCAAAACACATACCATGTTGCATAGTGTTGATGAGTGCCCACTGACTAAGTTCAGTGGAAGACTACAGGAAATGCACATGGCTCCTGAGGATACTATTGCATGGCTTGGCAATTACACACACACTGACTGCTGGCTGCTGTTTGTGCAGCCCCACCCCTTGACACTGATTGGCAGAAAGGCATGAGAGGGGTCTATCATACTATCCCACGAGCTGGTGCCTTCCCCTCCCAGGTGGGCTGCAAGGCCGGGCCACAGTGGCAGTGAGGACTGATGGCTCCCATTAGGGAGCTAGCATTTTATTTTTATTAAGGTTTTTTTTTCCCTGGGAAATTATGGCCAATGCCATTTTTTCATGGTGATCAGAGATTGCTGTTTTTCATGGTTTCTGCAAAACTGATTTAAGTAGGTCCCTAGATATAAGAGAGGATTTCTTTGAGATAATCCAAGATGAATATTAGTATTAGAAACAAGGTAATTCACTTATTTTTGTATCAGTAAATACATTGTGATTGCTTGTTTGAAAGCAAGTTTACCAGAACTTCTGTAACTGCTATTCATCACTCGACAAGCAAGTCTCATTCTTTTTTACATTCCAAATCGTGCTCTTCTGGAAGTGAGATCTACTCACTTTTTCCTTGTTTTTGAAGCTGTGTAGGCGTTCAGAGAAAATGTGCAGATTTCCAGAAATGAATAATACAGCTCTATGTAAGATTGCAAACAAAAACAACATGAAATGTAGGGAAGATTGAGAGAATATGTCATGAGTCAAAAAAATTACAAGAATGTTGTAATTATCCCCAGAGCAAGCATGGTAAAACCAAGAAATTCAGGGTTAGGGTTAAACTGAAAAAAAAATTCCAAAAATATGAGTAAGTGGAAAATCTCAATTCAGATAGCCAAATAATCTTGAATCTGTGCTGCACTTATGCCACGCAATATCATCTGATTATGTTGTGTGTTTAAAAGGATATATGAAGTGAGACTAGATTGAATTCTTTTCCATCAACAGAGACTTTGTAGTGGTGGAGAGGCTTGTGTGTCCCAATGACCCTCAAAGCTGTCACCCAGAATCTCACACTCCTAGCAGGGTCACTCAAGGTAAACAGGCCTGAGGGGAGGTTCCAGACAAACTAAGGTCCAACCCCAGATTCTCAATGGTGGATTAGATGGAAAAAGATGTCAGGATCTCAACAGCTGTGAGGAGGAGGAAGGATGCAGCAAAATGGAGGTCTCTTGTCATCTAGGGTTCTCCCTTGCCACTAGGCTCAGATCTCCACCTTGTCAAGATTGTGTGATTGTTGTTTCCATCTACCAGCTTCTTCTCATTAAACAAAGTCAGGCTCAAGCTTCTACCACAGACAACAACATGCTCCTGTACCAAGCTCCAAAAGCCCTGCAGCAATGGACCAGTAGTGACAGAAACAAGAGTACTGAATCCAGCAGTCTGCAGCCATGAAACTGCACATAGGCAGTGGTAGGTCAGCACGATTGACCTTTGGGTGGTTGGGTCAGTCTGTGTGACCCATGTGCAGTCACATTAGCCAGGGTGACCTGTGGGTTGGTCAGGTCTACCCAGAGGTATTTTGGCTGGCTTGACTGGTTCACAGGTGATCAGGTCAGCCAAGCTGACCAGTGGCTGGTGGGGTTGGTCTGGAAACCCATGTGTGGACAGGTCGGCCAAGGCGACCCATGAGTTGTCAGGTTGGCCTGGGTGACCTGCAAGTTGTCAGGTTGTCCAGGGCAACTGGCAGCTGGTGGGGTCAGCTGGAGTGACCAGCAGCTGGTGGACCTGGCTGGAGCGACTGGCAGCTGGCAGGGTTGGCCTGACCAACCAATGGACGGAGGGGTTGGCCGGACTGACCTGTGGCTGGTGGACTCACCCTGTGTGACCCACTCATGGCGAATCAGCTGATCGGATAAAGATTCCTCCAGCATGGCTCCTGATTCGAATCCAGCCAAGGCTTCTGATGAAAAACTACATCCAGGCTTTTGTTGGAATGCACACATTGAGTTTGGTTTCAGCTCAGTTTTTAGTGGGTACATGTCAGCATCATACAAACTACTATATAAGCTCCCACCAAGTTGCATCTCTGTTGGCAGTTAGAGTTCAATGGTAGGATAGGCTTGGAGGCAAAATGTGTTTTCAGGAGTCAGGTGACTGCAAAAAGCCAGCACCCCTTAAGCTAGCATCATATCTCTGGAACTGAGCATCAGGCTCGCAAGTAAAAGAGGGGAATTTCTGGCTGCTTGTGGCTTCTTGATGGGGAGGTTATGACTTGCAAGCCATGTGTGGGCTTCTGAGTTTCAGTCTGAAAGCATAGTTGTGGTGGGTTCGAGACATTTATTTTTCCTTGAAACATGCTAAGCTCGGATGGGCTCCAGAGCCCACCTGACCAGTGCTAAAGCCCTGGGGCTCAAATATGAACCTCTTAAGAAGCCAGCATCCCTGGAGGCTTGCGTCATCTCTGGGCTGGGACTGAGCATCAGGCTGGCAGGTAAGACGGGGCAGTCTGTGGCTGCTTTTTGCCAGACACAGGTCCCTCTCTCACAGGGTGAATCTGCACGTGTGATTAATTTGCACAAATAAACTCTGGAGCTTATTGTTCCAGAGTTGTTTGCTCCCTGGCACATCATTTGAATGTGCACCTGGGAGCAAAAAACTCCTGAGCAAATTGCACCCAAGTTTATTCGTGCGCAGCACGTGGAGCCCAGTTGGAGCAGTCCCGGGCTGGCAGGCTGATCCCCACAGGTTCCCTGCCAGTCCAGGCTGCTCCAACTCGACTCCACATGCTGCGGAGAGGCTGTCTGAGGAACGAGGGAGCTTCAGTGTAGGAGCTACTTGCCAGCTAGCCCCATGCTAAAGCACTCTTTGCCCCAACCAGCTGGGATAGCATCTGCACGTGCTGCTGCGCATGAAAAAAACTCCACAGCAGGGTAGTACTTGTATTTTACAAATAATACCCTGCTGTGGAGTTTATTAGTTTTGGGCGCACATGTAGACCCAGACTTTACTGCGCAGTTAATTAGTCAGCTGTGCACCAAATATCTTGTACCCCCAGTGTACTTGATTTTTGTTTTGTGGTGAATGTCTTGAAAATTTGGTCACTCGGGCTATGAGTCAGCTGCTACCAGTATTATTCTAGGGCTCAGCAGCTTGGTTGCTTAGTTAACAATGGGCAGTTTCTGAATTCAAAGCTAGTATGGGCTTCTGAGTTTCAGTTGGAAAGCACAGCTGTGGCATGCTTGAGGAAATTTCTTCTTTCCTGAAAGATGAGAAGCTCAGATGGACTCCAGAGCTTACTTAACCAGTGTCAGTGCTCCAGGGCTTTAAGATGCATGGCATGGGGAAATTCCTTTGGGGTTTTGGCATGTCACGTGAAGCCCCAGATTCTGATCTGTGTTTCAGTCAGATCCCTTGGAGTGTTTGTGAGGAAGGGGGATTCAGTCTGGCCAAAATATTTTTTTTTTCAAAGTTTTGCAGCAGCTGAGCCTGGTCAGACCTTGCCACTTCAGAAGCCAGTACCACTGAGACTAGAGCCATAATTCTGGGACTGAGCATGAAGCTGGCAAGTAAAAGGGCGGAGTTTGTGGCTGCCTATGCCCTCTTCCTGCTAGGCACAAAGGCCTCCCACAGTACATTTGACTTTTTTTGTTGTGACAGTTTGGTCACTCAGGCCATGCGACACTCCCCTTGGGTTTTCTTCTGTGGCTCAGTGGTTTGCTTGTTGAGTTAGTAACAGGGAGGTTGTGAATTCCAAGCTGGCCTCTGATTTTCAGTCTGAAAGCACAGCTATGGTGGGCTTAAGAAATTATTTTTTTTTCCTGAAAGATGACAAGCTCAGATTGGGTCCAGAGCCCACCTGACCAGTGCTAGAGCTCCGGGGCTCAAATATGAACCACTGGAGGCTTGCATCAAATCTCTGGGACCAAGCATAAGGCTGGCAGGTAAAGGGGTGGGGCAAGTTTTTGGCTTCCTGTGACTTTTTCTTGCTATGCACAGGCCCTCTCCCAGTGTACTTATCTTTTTGAGTTTTTGAGGGTTTATTTTGGTGTATGTACTGATAGTTTGGCTATTCAGGTTATAAGTAGGCTACTACGGGTATTCAGTAGCTTGGTTGCTGAGTTAATAATGAGTAGGTTGTGAGTTCAAAGCTGGATGTGGGGCTCTTGGTATCAGTTTGAAAGCACAGCCCTGGTGGGCTCAAGAAATGTCCTTTTTTCTGAAACATGCCAAGCTCAGATGGGCTGCAGAGCCCATCTGACCAGTGCCAGGGCTCAAAGAGGCATTTTTCATTTTGCGGCAACAGAGACCATTCAGGCCCTACCACATATGAAGCTAGCAACCCTTCAGACTTGTATACTGTCTCTGGGGCTGAGCAACAGCCTGACAGATAAAAAGTGGGGGGAGGGGTTGTAGCTCCCAGATGCAAGGGCAAATTAAAGCTGGATTGCAACCAGCTATAAAGTTATTACATGTTTTCTAGCTCTAACTTTATAATTAGATGTACCTTTATAGTTAGATGGCATGATAGTTATTTTGCACATGTAGCTGTTCTAAATTAATTGTGCAGTTACCCAGTTAATTGCATAATATATTTAGAGGAGGCCTGAGTTAGGCCAGGATGATACTGTTGTCTTGGTGCCTTTCAGATTTCTGATGTGCTCATTGTGTATAAGCAGTGCCATAGCACTGAAGTTTGGTGCTCAGGGCAAAGCCTGCAGCAGCAGCTCACTCTTGCCCCGTACACAGATCCGGGGGGCACATGCCCTCGTCCCCATGCTTACCTGGAAGTGCACGCAGTGGTGGGAGCTGCCCTTCCTCCATCCCCATGTCCCCCCAAATGAACTTCTCACAGCTCTGTCCCATGCCCTGCCCCAGCTGGGCAGCACCTGTTGGCGTCCCTTTGCTTTGGTACCCGGGGGAATCGTTTCGCTCACCCCCGCCCTTGCTATGGCATCATGTGTAAGGACCAAAGTTGCACCCCATTCACTGATGTGAACTAAAGGGAGTTTTGTTTTGAAGTTGGTAAGTCAGCCAGCTTTCCATTTTTGCTGTAAATGCCATTTATTGTGTGTTGTGCTAATTTAAGAGTACTCTGGTAGTAGAAGCCAGGTATGTCAGACCATTATTAGACAAACTTGTCAGATTATCTGTTTCCATCCTGATTTTTATTTTTTTTTTTAAGAAACTGCCTCGTCGTCATGGCAGCTGGCGCGTAGGAGGGCAACCTGCACCCTTGTCACTACTCCAGTCCTCACATTTATCGTGTGTTAAGCACCAGCTTGACACTGCCTGTCAGTCCTTCGGAGCTCATACAAGTGTAACATGCAGGAGCCCTGGTATAGACTGATGTAAGTGCCCTCTGTGCACTGCTATGACAAATTCAGTGCACCAGCATCAGCACTTGGACTGTGCTGTCTCAAGGCTAAGTGGTACAAACTGAGCAGTTATTGAGCAGTTTGGTCCAAGAACATTTCATCATGCACTCTTTGACTAGTGTGGGCTGCTTCATCATGTCTTCTTCCTTTCAACTGCTCCTACATGTATGCATGTGCTGATCAGACTGTGGCAGAAATGGACACCTCACCCCTTCCTCCTTCTGTCAGGTGGAGAGCCAGGAGCTTAACAAAAAGGCCTTTTTTATTAAAGGGAAGGAGGAGAAGGGATGTAATCCTTGCCTTTGGTTTAAGGCAGAGTACAGACACAGTTGGACAGGGGCCTGCAGCCAAGCAGGGCTCAGGCTGTCCAGCAATGCCAGGCAGCAAAGTACCCAAACATGCTGCTGTAAGGGGCAAGACATGCTGTGGGACTGCATCTGGATGATTCACTGCTCACAGGTGTGCTGCTGGACCTGGAAGGGTCCAACTTGGGCCCAGCATGAGAAGCTTGAGTAAAGTTATTCAAAACACTTGTGACTACTTCATCCTCTGGTGTTTTGAGGCAGTGTGGACAAGCGCCTCCCACAGCACAGCAGCGTAAAGGGAATGTTCCCTTTTGTTTTTTCCCATCCTTTAGTCAAAAAAACTTAACAGCACTGGACAGCTGGAAGGGTAGAAGCCTCTATATTTCTAATACTTAGTACTTGGTTTTTGAGGCTTCATTAGGATGATGCCAGTGCTGTTATTATCACAGTCCCTCCTGGACAAGGGAGTGGGAGCTCCTTATGTACTATTGTAGGACCTGCTTCCTGTTAACCACTGGACTAGATTTACTGATAGTAAAAATTCCTGTTAAAATGCAAGTGATAAAAACTACATGCAACACAGAAAGCTACAAGCATTTAATGGCACAAGCCACTTCCTAGCTAAGAGTGTACCTAGAGAGGGAAATAAAGGTACTTAACCCAATATGGCCTTGATTAGATGGTAGGCTTGATTCCAAACTCAGTCTTATCCATTTTGTGCTTAGAAGCATTTCCTGTAGATAAAGAAAGGACCATGCTCCTCATACTCTCTCCGATGAACCCAGAGCTGCTGAAAAGACTTGAGTGATGCCAAAATTGACCCTCCGGTCCAGACAGAGGACTTTCTTTCAGGCGATGCTGCTACAACAGGGTTGTTGTTAGGGCACATCTTGATCAGTTCTTGCTGGAAGCGGTCAGCAAAGCCTTTCAGCATGGTACAACCTCCGCACAGCAAGATACTGTCCATCAGTTTCTTTCTGAGGTCAACATCACATTTATTGAGGCAGGTCATTGTCATCAGTGCAAGCCCTGGCTGCTGGAACCCTATCAAGGATGGTGTGAAAAGCATTTCAGCACATAAGAATCGCTCTTTGCCAATTTTAATTAAATGCCCATCTGGCAGCTCATACTCAACTGGCAGTCTCTGAAGAGACATTTCCCGAGGAACATCCAATGAGGTATAACAACATTTCTCTTTGATATCTTCTACTTTGCTTAGGTCTTCCTCTTTAAACTGGTACCCAGACTCATTTAATAGCTTCATGAGGTAAGAGGTGAGATCTGAACCAGCGTAGTCTACCCTGCCTGTGATGCTTGGCATAGTATAACCTTCATAAATAGGAACCACATATGAAACACCATGGCCACTTTCCACTACTAGAGCAGAAGTCTTCCCATAAGAGTACATGGATAATCTAGACTGGTAAGCAATATGCATGGCAGGAGCGCCAAATGTCTCAAACAGCATCTCAGCATATTTCTCCCTATTGGTGGTAGGGCTCAGTGGAGGGTCAGATACCAGGATGGCATGCTCCTCTGGGAGAATCTTCATCTCATTGTGGAAAATGTATTTCCAAATGTCTTGGACACAGTCCCAGTCCACAATAATGCCATGTCTCAAGGGGTTGACGAGTTTTAGGGGTATATTAGCGCTGTAAAGTTCTCTCCCAACAAAGGTATCTTTCCGATTGTCCCCAGTCTTGGCAGTCTCCTGGAGATGCTTACCCACTGTTGATGAAATCACATGGGAAGGAAGAGGGTCCCCAGCAAACCCGCACTTACAGTAACCTGTGCCAATGTCTATGATTACTGCTCTAGTCTCTTTCACTATCTTGGGGTCTTTGTTGGGCAATGAAGACATTTTCTCATCTTTAGGGTTTGTATGGGTTCTTGCTCCCATCTTCGTAGGGCCTTCCTTTACAGCTGCTACAGGCAGAGAACTGGAGCTTGAATTGTCTTTGAGTGACACTTCCTTTCCAGTGTCATGTATGCTGATTCTCTTTGACTGTACTGGCAGAAAACATGGCAAGTAGCAGGAATACGGGTGGCACTTTTAGAACACTCATGCCACTGACATCACTAATTATGACATCAAAGGTCTACCTGTCCCAGGGCTTGACCAGACCTTTAGAGAGACATGGACTTTTAGAGAGGTGCCCTGGAAGCAAGATACATGTAGGCACTGGCTGCAGATGTGTTTTCCCCCTGCATACTAAATTTGTTCTGAGCATTACCAAATGAGCAGACATCTGGCTTGAGTTCTACATGGGCATGCAAGCCTCCTGTGCAAACTAGCAATAATCAAGAACTTTGTAGTTTTTATTTTTCAATGCAACCTTGGGTCCTTTCCTAAACTCTTAGGGAAAAGGTCTACAATCTTTCAATCAATCTTTTTATTTTGGGAAACGTTGCTCTATTGAATATTCTTTTTGTTCATTATTAAAAAGCCCTCAACATATCTGTGCAGCTTGATGCTATTTCCATGCTAGGAAAATATCCATGGTTGATTGGTTGATCGTTTTATTTATTAGATTTATCATCCTATCCAACAAAAGCTGAGGGCACCTTACAGGAGAGAGAAAAATAACTTATAAAAACAAGCAAATGAGAAAAAACAGGAGAAAAAGTTACTTACAGAAGCAAGAGAGTATTAAAATAACCTATTGAGCAAACCCCACTAAACCAGAGGTTAACAACCTATGGCCTGTGGATCTGACTCACAAAGAGATTCTTCAGGTCATGAGTGGCAGCCTACTGTTAGTAAAAGATTGCCAACCTTGGCCTATTATTCAAGAGAAGGATTCTGGATTCTTTTCACCATGTTCTGTGGTGCTACTGAACTAGAGGCAAATACCAGGTGGTATCTGAAGCATGAGGGCAGAGCTGCTCCTGTGGATGTGAAGTGTTCATACTCTCCGGTGTGTTGTGCCTCCTGTCATTAAGGATTGTTTTAGTCTTTGCAGAGCCCACGCTACCACACCAGAGGTGGGGTGAGGGGGAAAAGACAGCCCCTTTAATTAAGCTGGTCATTTCTAGGACACCTGCACCTTATGTATTTAAACACCAAAGACCTGAGATATTTGACTCCTGGAAGAGGAAGGAACGTTTTTTTCTAGAGTATCTTGTACAATCTAATAAGCAGGACTGCTCCTGGAAACACAAGGAATAGAAGCCTAAGGTCACTAGGCCCATTTGATATTAAAAAAACCTTTGCATGTCATTCTGAAATTGTAACTAAAAAGCTTACTGGTAAGCAACATGCAGGAAGTGACTCATGCTACAAGCACATAATACTAATGACATCACAATCAGTGATGCTGCAGTTGTTGTGATAGCAAAGTTGCGCTGAACTCCACCCATATACTTTAAAGGATCTATAGATTAAAAATTGCACAGAGAATGCAAGTAGGTACAAGAAAGATTAATATGCTGGGGACAGAGGATAACAACTATGGTGAGCCTAAGACAACAACTAGATGTAGAACTAGGTTTGCACTACTGCGAATACAGATTTGCTAGAGAGCATAACCCTTCCTATGTGATTTCACCCACAGGAAGTAAAGAATCCAAGACACCAATAAAACTGATGTCAAGCAAAAAGGAAATGGTTTGAGACAACACCTGAATACTGAAACACCACTAGAAATGATCAATCCATGACAACATGGCATAGTGGCAGACTGGGATTTTGTCCAAGATATCTGAGGGCACATCTTATACAGAGAAATGAGTGTTTCCAAAGGAGCATGCTGTACTGATATCAAAACCTCCACTGAGTCCCATCATGCGTAAGGAAAAATATGCAGAGCTGATGTTTGAAATCTTCTGGTCTTCCAGCAATGCATGCAGACCGCCAATCTGTCCTGTCCTTGTATTCTTATGACAAAACCTCAGGTTTTGCTGTAGTAATCAAGTGGTTTCAGCATTTCTGAATTAGAAAGGAAGACTATGAGGATCAAGGGCCCTGAGTTATTTACTAAAATGCTAAGAGTTTATGCTGCAGTAACTAGATCACCTGATTTAGTGCGTAGAGTCCAAGCAACATGTTCACACGAATGATGTTACATCCATTTCACAAGCTTTCAGCATTAGGATACTTCAAGAGACTGAAAGAACATCAGCCGAATTTTCTTGGAGCTACTATTTCAGCCATCCTACACATTAAAGTATTAAATTAATAGTCACTACTTAAATAAATATTTTGTCAATAAATAACAAGTGGTCTGGTAATTTTCTATATCCTTCAATAACTGTTTTTACCTGTTAGAATGCATCTTGCTGAGTCTGTGTTAATGATTTTGCAAGTGCATTTAAAACATAGAGGGGCTCCATCCTGTAGTCCTACAAGGATACATTCACCACTGAAGACACTGGATTTTGACTAACCACTGCAAAATCAATTTGCAGCAAGATGCACCCTTTATTACAATAATACTGCATAGTATGTTCTGAAGGCCAGGACAAGCAGCCCTTAAAAGCTTGGTGTTGAGGATGGTCAGTACATACCACAACAAAGACCACGTCACTTTCAAAGATTAGACTGTCTTGCCTGTTTACCTGGGCAGGGGTTCATCAGCAATAATCTTTGTTAGCCATTTGCAGTGGAAGGTTTTAAAGGAAGTTTATTAATCATTTCATTTGAATGGATATTACAATCTATGGCAAGGGTATTTTTGTTGATATCAATGTCAGCAAATCATCAACAAGGGAAGAAAGAATCAGGTGTCAATATCACTTAACAAAAAGAAGATGTTTCCACACCAGGTTCTGAATATTTCCCCCTTAGAGTCTAACACAAACCTATTGTAGGCACTAAACTGCCTCTTGAATCAGAATAATCCTGATTTACCCAAGTAAAACAGTTTCGAGACTTCCATTCAGGTACAATCCTAGCCCAACAGCCTATCTAATGAATAGATTTTAATTTACTTTAATTCTTTTAAAACCTCATTATAAGGAGGTGTTGAATGTGCTTATTGGAACTTTTCCAAGAACTGTAAAAGAACGCAGTATTCCAGATCTAAGTCAGTTTGGCCAATGCTTCTTGAGATGTTCCTTTAACTGTGGGATGGTTGATTGAGGTTGCCTACACACATGGCATCTGAGGGGCAACTTGAGGAGTTCTGAAGTCCCACCACTCACCAGCACTTTTCCTTTGGTCTTTATCATCTCTATCACATCTGAAGGAAACCAAAAAACATTAGGTACAAGAACAGAACACACAGTGAAGTGCACTCAGCATCTATAAAATATGTTCTTAATGCTTTATGTAAGTAGGATGTCATCGTTACAGAACAGCATGCTACCCATCCCAGCTGTGCTCCCTGCACCACAGTTTCTCACAGCTCCCAGTTGTTATTCATTATTCTAAGAAAAGGCAAATGAATGGGAAAGAAAATTTCTTAAAAACTGAGTAAATATGGTATCATGATCACTCAAGTCTCAGTGGTAGAATCCTTGTCTACCACGCAGAAGACCTGGGTTCGATTCCCAGATGCATATACAACTACAGCCATGGAGGCACCAAACATCTTTAGATTCTGTCTCACTGGCCTAAAGGGAGGATGGAAGGTCTGGGCAGCCTCCACTCCTCCAAAAATTCCTGCCCAGGCATATGCACTGAAGGTCTGGGTGCCCCTCACACACACACCATGATCCAGGAGGATCGACGGTTGCCACAATAATGACTCAATATCCAAAATTAAGCATGAACTTTCAACTTTCTTCCTAACAAAATGTTTTAAGATAACAAAGACTTCACAGACCAGAAAAATAAAGTAGATTGTACATTACGGAACAAGTTTTAAAAACATCTTTACCTTGGGAGTTCAAGAAGTATTCTGTGGTAAAAGAATTCCAGTGCTTTTTGGTTTTAAGGCAAGGGGAATCAAAATCCTGGCTGATTACATGCAGATGTATGTGACTGAAACACACATACACACACAATTAATTAAAATAATGATAATTAAAAAAAAAAAAGTTCTCATCTAGAGAAAGCTACACAAATAATGGCTACCTTAGAAAACTGAATAATTTTATCCTTCCCATGTGAACACTACAGCATACATACAGGGCTTTGAGATCAAGTCCCCTGAAGTCTCAAGGACAAATTCATAAGTAATCTATACATAATGTTTAATAAAAGTAGAAAACTAGATGTAAGCAGTGTAATATAACCCATGCCAGTAGATGCCAAGGAGCATGATGTCAGCAAGGAAAGCAAAATTGAGAGAAGGCTAAAAGATAAAGTGGACTTAAAGACATCAACAGTACAACCCAAAATTGTTTCTAATGCAACTCTAATGAACTCCTAGCTCAATGAGATACAGGTTTTAGCTGTGCTGGTCTACAGGCAAAAAATATGCAGAACTCTTGGTAGAGGTGATATATTTTATTAGACCAACTAAATATTTGCCAAAAAAAAAAAAAAAAAAAATGTCCAAAAAAAAAAAAAAAAAAAAAAAAAAAATTGTTTTTGCAAATATTTAGTTAGTCTAATAAAAGATATCACCTCTTCCAAGAGTTCTGCATAGTTCAATGAGATACATTTTTCAGCCTCTGACATGCAAGACTTAGTCCACTGACAAATATTCATTTAAAGGCATAATGGGATCTGATCCCCAAACCAAACAATCATGCCTCCTGCCATGCCATAAGTGTATAGGACACGTGCTTGGGAATGAGGGAGTCCGATCGCAATTGTGCCCTGCTTACCACTGCAGGGGAAGCCCAGAACCATGGTCCCAGGCTTCCCCTGCACTAGCAAGTTGAAAGCCAGGTGTTTGACAGTAAGCTGACTGTCAACCAGGAGGATTGAACCGGGGTCAGCTGGAGGTCCCAGTGCAATCCTAACCCTGCCACATGTTCAATTTAAGGTGCGTCGGAAACCAGCCACAAAAATATTACACATTTTTTTATGTAATATTTTTTGTGGCTGGTTTCCCATTTTGTGGTGCCATTAATTCCATGAATGTTTGGCCAGGTTACTATTTAAAATGAGATTAAAAGTCTGATTGTGTTTTAAGTATGATGTCTGCCAGGGACTTTAGGCACCAAGTGGGCAGTGATTTTGAGAATGTTAGTGATGCCTAAATGGGGGTCTTAAAAACCCAAGCATCTCTGAGACTTACCCTTAAATCTGTATAATTCAGCATGAGGCTTTAGGTAACAAAAATGGCACCTGCTGACCCACTCAAGTCTTACCTCATGCTGGGAATAGCATGGTAACCCAGCCTGAACTGTAAGTTCTCTCTCTCAGGACACTGGTGGACCAACTTTTCACCAACGGCATGCATGTGTTCCAGTAGTCCAAGATGCTCTTTTGTCACAGATTTTAAACTGGAGATGGAGTCCCAAGGTAAGATGAGCCAGTGGTAACGAGCTTTGGGATACTTGTCCTTAATTGCTACAACCCTTTCATCTTTGTAGACCTAGTAGAGAGAGATGTAGGTTATTTACCACTGACTGGTGTCCCTTGGAAGGAGAAGCTGCTTACTGCATAACTATAGTTCCAGAAGAGTCCACTCTGGGTACATGGGACTCAGATGCATAGATCTGTAGATGGCTAGGGTCGGAAGGGACCTCAACAGATCATCAAGTTTGACCCCCTGCCTAGGCAGGAAAGAGCGCTGGGGTCAGATGACCCCAGCCAGATGCCTATCCAACCTTCTCTTAAAGACCCCCAAGGAAGGGGCAAGCATCACCTCCCTTGGAAGCCTATTCCAAGTTTTGGCTCACATGCCTGAGCTTGCACGTTTATTCACCAGCAGTATCTACATTGTGTACATGCTCCCAGTGGCTCATTTTAGAGTATGCCTATGCAACCACAGAATCCTAAGCATACAGGAAAAGTAGGTGAAGACAAGAGCATGGGTTGTGGCAAGCACATACAGATCTCTAAGAATTCCAACTACTGCACGGTAAGCAAGTTTTCTCCTTCAAGTGAATCAGCATGCATGTTCTGCTAGGGAGGACACAAAAGTGGTTCTCAGTTCACCTGAAGGCAAGATTAGAGAATCATACACCAATTGGATGGTCACCTCATCAACTGCAGCACCAAATCCAAAAACTTAAAAAATTGGATGAGGCCTTGTGAATATGTGAGAAAAGCTGCAGGTGGCCACCTTACAGACATCCAAGATGGATACATCCATCAAAGATGCTGGTGGAACAAGGTCTAGTGGGCCACAGGCAAGTTTACACTGGCTACTGTGAGTATATCCTTTCACAGTCTGAGATTCACAGGCCAAGACTGGGATTGGATCTCTCACAGAAGGGTCTACCTTGTTTAGTACCTTGCGGAAACTTTAGCACAGCAGGATGGAAAACACTCCCTGAC